TTTTAGGGTTAAAATGTTTTTTTTTTTTCCTTTACAAAGTGATGGTGATAGCATTTGTTTTCCCTTTTTTAGTCTTTACGCAGCAAAATAAAAAATTGGCAACCCTGGTTCAGTGTCCTTTTTTCTTAAATTAGACTTGTTCTGGAAATCCTTAAATGTGGCACTGCCGATTTTAATGCAGTCTTCCTTCTACAGTGTGAGCCTGTTTCCCTGGCTCATCCTGCAGCAAGTGGAGATCACTCATAACACTTCTCTGCACAGTGGAGTTTTGGATATTGTTGCCCAGTGGGATATGTATGTGTCCGTGTGTGTCTGTGTTAGTAACGGAGAAGAATGGGCAGATTTTTCAGGGATGGGAGAACTGCTCAGCATCCCCACTTGACTGCTGCCTTTCCTCCCTTTCTGAGCCTGGCTAAGTGGGGTGGGGGGTGGGGGTCGGGAGCCATTACGGTCGGGGGTGGGAAGAGGGGCATGGGCACAATTCTAGCTCTTTTGTTTTGCAGTCTAAACCCTATTGTAATATATGAGCACAACATGCTCCCAAAGCCCTCTCTTGTCCTGATGGGGGGGCAGAAAGCCGAGCTGGAATAGAAAGGGGTTTGGAGAGGGCTGAGGTAACACAAATAATTCTCCTGGCCCCTGCGCGGGGTGCCATAACCTCGCCGCCTTTGCCCTGGTCCCATTAGGAGGAATCCCCTGGAGAAAGTCCAACCAGTCACTGTTGTCCCTGCCCAATTTTCTGGTCTAGGGAGATCTGAGGAGAGGAGGCAGCATGGAAATGGGAAGCTGAGGCCATGGTCATTACGTTGGCCGTTCCCCCTAGACTGTGAACTCCATGAGGACGGGGAAGGTCTGTTTTGTTCATGTCTGTGTCCCAGATACGGCCTGGCCCATTGTAAGTGGTTAGTAAATACCAGTTACATGAATGAATGGTTGTATCTGAGTTGGGTAACAGATGAAGGGCCTGGGCAGGGGACATCATGTGTTTGGGAAGATGGGGTCTTTGAGAGGAAGAGACAGGAGGGTCTGCTCTGGCCTGTTACCCTAAGACTGTTCCTCAAGCACTGGTGTTAAGGGGATAATTACTCACTCAGGGTTCTGGGGCTTAATGAGTGGGATCATCTAGGGTTTTTGTGTTTTTTCTTCAAAGACTATCCTCTTGCTCAAACCCCAGATAGTTCTCCTTTCTTGTTTCTACTTCCTCACATTAACATCCCAACAAGGAAGAAGGAACAACACAAAAAAACAACCCTGAGAGCGTAGGGTCTGGATGGAGAGGGAAGGTGATGGACTGAGGTTGGTGAGACAGCTGAACTTGGGTGACCCCAATGTAGGACTGACTAAAACATTTGAACTTCACAGAGCTAGGGACTCTAGAAGCTTGGGTGTTAGAGGTCATCCAATCCCATACACCCCATTGAAATCAGGGATCCCTCCTGGGGCATCTCTGGTATTGAACCACATTAGGAGACCCTTGATTTGGTAGCTTTACAGTCAGAGAAATCCACTTAGGTGTCAAGGCCTCATGATGCCCTTGTCAACAGACAAAGGAAAGGAAAGAGGAGTAAAAACCCAGCTGTATCTGTCCCCAAGACCAGAAGTCAACCAAAGATCTCAGAATGTCCTTAGGGACACTGACCCACATACTATCTCAAGACAGCATTAAAATTTAGCCCTGAGTGGGGCACCTGGGTGGCTCAGTCAGTTGGGCGTCAGACTTCGGCTCAGATCATGATCTCGCGGTCTGTGAGTTCGGGCCCCACATCAGGCTCTGTGCTGACAGCTCGGAGCCTGGACCCTGCTTCTGATTCTATGTCTCCCTCTCTCTCTCTGCCCCTCCCCTGCTCACACTGTCTCTCTCTGTCTCTCAAAAATAAATAAATGTAAAAAAAATGTTAAAAAAAAATTTAGCCTTGAGTGACTGGAAAGATGAGTCCTGCTAAAATCTTTGTCTTTTTTTCTAAAGGCTCCAGGAGCAGACCCTGCATCATGGGCTACACCAGCAACTCCAGGGCTCACCTGCCAGGCCCACGTGGGCTCCAGCATGACAGAGGCATTCTGGAATAGATGTCTTCACAGGAAGGGTGACACCGGGATTTTGTTTGTTTTTTTAAAAATTTTTTTAACGTTTATTTATTTTTGAAACAGGGAGAGACAGAGCATGAACAGGGGAGGGGCAGAGAGAGAGGGAAACACAGAATCGGAAGCAGGCTCCAGGCTCTTGAGCCATCAGCCCAGAGCCCGACGCGGGGCTCGAGCTCACAGACCGCGAGATTGTGACCTGAGCTGAAGTCGGATGCCCAACCGACTGAGCCACCCAGGCGCCCCAACACTGGGATTTTGTATTCCTAGGCTGACTCCTGTAAGCAGAGAAGGACCTGTACGAATGCCCTGGGCTGGGATTGGGGGAGTTGAACCTCATACAGACCATGAGTTGATGAACCACCCAGTCAGGAATGGAGATGAGTCATTGTCCTCTGTCTTCAAAGCTTTTGACCTACCACAATGGGGAAGCAGAACTACCATCTGCCATGTGTCCTAGAAGGAGGTGTCCAAACACAAATCCGCATATCATCTGTGTCTGGGTGTGTCTGTCTCTTTCCTTGTGAGTGTACTTGGCCATGGGTGTATCTGGGTACAGCCAGATACATCCTCAGCATATCTTTTCACCTGCGTGTTTGTTTCTTTTCTGGTTCTCCTTTTTTTCCCCTCTTAAATATCAGGTCCCTCGGGGCTTGGTCTGGTCCGTCTTCTCTACTCTCTCAAGACCTCTCCCTGGTTAATCACATCCACACATCTTCAGTATGGCTATGAATTCCAAATCTATATCCCTATCTTCACCTTGGTCCTGAGCCCCAGATTTGTATCCAGGTCCTCCCAAATATGCACTTGGCTGACACACATTCAACTTGCTTCTAACAACTCACCAATGATCCCACAGTGTTATCAGAACTTCTGAACTTGTCACACCCTCCTGAATGCCTCTTCACTGGTATCTAATTTTCTTCCCTAGATTCACAGGTGGGACAGGAGTGGGATGGGATTTGGTAGGGTGGCTCTGAGAGTTGGCTAAAAGGTAAACAATTTAGAGCTGGATGACAATGCCACGTGGAGTCAGCCAGGTGAGCACAAAGTATCCTGTTGCAAAACCACAGGAATCAGAGGTACTGGGTTAGCTAAGCCCCACAGGAGAAAGCGAGGCTAGCCCAGAATGATGGTTGGTCACCATTTTTATGCGTTATCCATGTTTCTGGTGTGTAAGAGCTGGGAACAATCAGAGAAGCTAAGCGACAGAAGACACCTAGCTTACTGTCACCTATAGATCGAGACCAAACTCTTTAGCAGAATATCCCTATCCTTTGTGACCTGGATCATGCTTACTTCTACAGGCTCACTCTTTCCACTTTTCCAGCTTATGCCAGTACTATAGGCATTTCCTAGAGTTCAGTGTGTCTTTTGGGCTCCTATGTTCATGTGCCATTGCCTTTGCCTAGAACGTTATTTCCATTGACGTTTACTCAGTAAAGACCAATTCAACCTTTTGGAGTTAGCCCCAGTTCCTCAATGCCTCCAGGCACAACGAGTGATTCTGACATCTTTCTAATGTCACCTGAAACATACCTTTATACCTAAATTATTTCAATTGCCACACTACATAATAATCATTTACTTGCCTGCCTGAACTGAACTGTGTGCTCTACAAGAACAGAACCTATATCTTACTGCAGTTTTTAGCCCCCAGCATCTAAATAGTGGATCGTACATACTTGCAGCCCAGTAAACATTTGTTGGATGGATGAATGAATGGGTGAATGGACTTACACTCTTACAGGGGAGATAGACAAGTAAAGAAAAAAGTTACAAAATTGTGAGGAAAAGACCATGCTAACAGGTCATTTTGGGTACAGAAAGGAAGGGATGCCTGATTTCAGGCCCCTATCCCACTTTCTGTTCCCTGTAATACGCAATTCAACACAAAAACACTAAACTGTAAAATAAAATTTAATTTAATTTATTTTCTTTAAAATCTTTTTAATGTTTATTTATTTTTGACAGAGAGAGACAGAGCATGAACGGGGGAGGGGCAGAGAGAGAGGGAGACACAGAATCCGAAGCAGGCTCCAGGCTCTGAGCCGTCAGCACAGAGCCTGGCGTGGGGCCCGAACTCACAGACTGAGAGATCATGACCTGAGCCAAAGTTGGACGCTCAACCGACCGAGCCACCCAGGCATCCCAATTAATTTATTTCCTTAAGTAGGCTTCACGCCCAGTGCAGAGCCCAACTCATGGCCTGAAGATCAAGACCTGAGCTGAGATCAAGAGTCAGATTCTTGGGGCGCCTGGGTGGCTCAGTCGGTTAAGCGTCCGACTTCGGCTCAGGACATGATCTCCCGGTCTGTGGGTTCGAGCCCACATCGGGCTCTGTGCTGACAGCTCAGAGCCTGGAGCCCACTTCAGATTCTGTGTCTCCCTCTCTCTCTGCCCCTCCCCTCCTCATGCTCTGTCTCTCTCTGTCCCAAAAATAAATAAAAACGTTTAAAAATTTTTTTAAAAAGTCAGATGCTTAACCGACTGAGCCACCCAGGTGCCCCTAAACTTTTATTTTTGAAACAAACAAGAAGTCTTATCCATAGACATGAAATTGCATAAGCTCCTTCTTTTTGGGAAGGGGGCATCACCTTTGCTTCGTTGGCAACTGTATCAGTCCAGGTGCGTGCCTGGGTGGCTCAGTCAGTTAAGCGTCCAACTTCAGCTCAGGTCATGATCTCGCAGTTCATGAGTTAAAGCCCTGCCTTGGGTTCTGCACTGATAGCTCAGAGGCTGGAACCTGCTTTGAATTCTGTGTCTCCCTCTCTCTCTGCCCTTCCCCCGCTCATGGTCTGTCTCTCTCTTTCTCAAAAATAAACATTAAAAAAAATACAACAGAAGAGAATGTAATGACTCTTAGCAGAGATGTGGGCAGGGTTAAGGAAAACAGTTAAGGCTGGAGAGGCACTTACCTAAGACCAGCAACAGCAGAGAGAGGTTGCCATCCCTAAGTCTGAGGTCCAGCGCAGGAGCCTGGAGGTGTAGCCATGGAGAAGCACAGCCATCGCCAGAACTTCAGCTCAGCCCAGCAAGCTGGTGAGGGGGAACCCCACCCATGCTTTCCTTCCACCTTCAGATCTGCCTCTGACTCTCATGAGCCAAGCTCGGTCAGAAGCCAGAGGGCAAGTGAGACCTGGAAATACAGTTCATAGAGGTCAGTTTCCAGGGGTAGGGTAGAGAAGGGCCGAGAATGGAACTGGGTAGTGAGAGGACAGAGAATAACCAGCATTGGGGGATATGCCCCTGCTTTGCATGTGACCCATATATATGATTATTGCCCATGGAGTAATCAAGCATTGGCTCAGGCCCTGCAGATGACATTTCTAGGTCTTATGTAATTGGGTATTTGGGTATCCAAGCTTATTAAGATCTGTGCCACTCAATTAGTAGGTCCGGGGTAGGACAAGGGTATGTACGTTTTTAAAAAGTTTCCCAAGTAATTTTGACAGGTCTCGCTCGTTAAGAACCACTTTTATAGGGGTGCCTGGGTGGCGCAGTCGGTTAAGCGTCCGACTTCAGCCAGGTCACGATCTCGCGGTCCGTGAGTTCGAGCCCCGCGTCAGGCTCTGGGCTGATGGCTCAGAGCCTGGAGCCTGTTTCTGATTCTGTGTCTCCCTCTCTCTCTGCCCCTCCCCCATTCATGCTCTGTCTCTCTCTGTCCCAAAAATAAATAAACGTTGAAACAAAAATTTAAAAGAACCACTTTTATAGTCCCATTCTCTCATGTTTATCACAGGGAAACTAACATGAAGAAAAATGAAAAGTGCCCTGACTCAGCCATGCTCTGAGAACTATCCCTTAGGTGACAATAAAGGGTTTGGCTGGAAAACTGAAATGTCTGCCCATATCTTCTAGCCCTATTTCTCCATTTTCTGATGAGGAAACACAGGCTCCAAAGATGGAATGATGTGCCCAGTTACACAGCTAGGGAGTCACAGAGATTTACATAGCTAGTAAATCACTAGCACTAAGTACAGTATTGGTAACTCTCAATCCAATCTTTTTCCTAGGCAGGACACTGCAGGAAGGTGTGTGTGTGTGTGTGTGTGTGTGTGTGTGTGTGCGCTGCACCAAGTCCCCAGGGCAGCAATTCTAGTTTCCCATTCTGGTAAGGTAGGTCTCCCCACAGACCCTGACTACGGATAAAGCAGGGCAGGCAGAGTTCACTGCCCACTGAGGCTCTATGCAGAAGGGGCCTGGAGGTGATGGGGGAAGGCTGTGGGTGACCCCCAATCTCAAGTCTTGATTCTCACCCTATTGCTCCTGGCTTTGAATCGCTGGTTGTCAATTCCATCACTGAAAGAGGGCTCCTCCCCACTCCAAGTGGGTGTCAGGTCAGCACAGGCTTTGGGGAAAGCTGGGCAGGTCCCAAAAGAGAAAGAGGCCCATTGTGGGAGGCTCACAGAAGGTAGCCTATAGGCTTCTCCTGGCCCAGCATGAGGTTGGGGTCCAGCACTAGGGCCTTAGTGTCATCCCAGGATGTTTAAAACTCCTTGTTGGCTACTAATTAGGGCTAATTAGGGCTGCTTACTCCCTCCCACCCAACCCGAGTCCCCAAAGCCTGGCACACAGCTACTTCCCTCCTACTGCAGGTCAAAGACCCCCGGTCATACTTTAAGAAGTATCTGAAATCTCTGTCTTCAGGAAGCCTCTTGGATTTGTATTTCCTGACACCAACAGCCCGCTCGTCCCCATCCTACACAACACGTTGGGCTTGGGAGGAAACTTACAGATTATGCATTCATCTTATATATAAGGAAATCAAAGCCAGAGAGGGGAAGTGATTTACCAATCACACAGCATGCAAGTGGCAAAACTGGGACTAGATTTCAGTCCATTTGCATACTTGTCCACCCATGTCATTCCCATGATTCTGATGAGACTTGGTTCCAAATGTGCCTGTGTACCTTTAGTCTGTGTAATACAGACATTAAATTTGCTTAAGCCGGATTTTTGAGAAAGTTAGTATACTCCTTCGGGTCCTTAAGTATGCTCAGGTCTGCCTGTCAAGTCATTCTGGTATGTTCTCATGTTACTGTCTTCTCTGAGCTATGAGAGGCGTGTGCCCAAGAGCAATTAAGTATCGGTGCTCCGGAGGCTGCTGCGTGCCTGTATATGTGTCCCTGTTTTTACCATGAGGGATGGGAGTCCAAATGCGGTTTCTGGGTTTGTGTCTGAGTACTTGTATGATGCCTAAAGGTAATTGTGATTCTGTACATGTTTGTATATACGTTAGGACTACGAGTCTATGGACTGCTGTGTACCTATTTGAGTGTCTCTTTTCAGCTTAAGACTGTGTGTACCCTGCCCATTGTGTGTCCTGTAGACATGTGTGGGTATGCAGTGAAGGTTGTGGGTCTAATTGTAACTATGTCCGTGTGTGCTGCATGTTTAAAGACGGGAGGGAATCGCCTTGTATCCCCAGGGTTAGGAGAAGATGTGTGTGGCCGCGTGTACACTACAGGAATGTGTTTGTCTCTCAGTCAAGCTCGGTCCTCGTCCAGGGCCTGGGGGGGTCACGGTCACGTTCTGGGATGCCCTGGCACAGGTTCCCAGAGGGGCGGGGTCTCTAGCGCCCCGCCCCCCGACTCCAGGCCGCTCATTGGCCGTGGGTGCTATGACGTCGTGGGGATCGCAGACAGAAACCCAAGCGCCCTGCCCGGCGAGCGGGAGGTATTGTCCGTCACCCCGGGCTTTGTTACGTCTTCGCCTACTCACCTGGCCGCGGGCGCGTCCTGGCCGCTGCAGCCCGGAGCGGGAGTGCCAGCCGCTGCCGCCGCCGCCGCCGCCGCCGCCATGGTGTCCCCAGTCACTGTGGTGAGTGCGCGAGCGAGCGAGCCAGTGTCCGGCGCCCACCGGCCTGGGGACTGGGCTGCGGCAGGCCAGGCCGCCGGGGGCCGTGGAAGGGGCAGGGATCTCGCGGCGGTCGGCGTCCCCGGGAGGGAGGTGGGCGCTGTCAAGGCCCCCCGCCCCCCACCGCTCCCCGGACCCGCGGCGCCCCTCCTCCACGCAGCCCCTGCCGGCCCGCCCGCCGGAGGGAGGAAAACAGTGGGCATGTGACTCGGAAGCGTGACTTTGTTGATGTCTGTGTGTCTGACGCGGGTCGGCGGGCCGGTTGCCGGGGAGAGGTAGAGGACACAGCAGCTGGCCGGCGGTTCTGCGTGGGCAGACCACAGGGAGGAGTGGGAGAGGGCGTGGGAGAGGGTGGGGAGGGCAGGAGGGTGACTGGGCCCTCCTGGGAATCCTGGCCCAAATCTGTTCCCTCGGTTCCTTATCTCATAAACAAGTCTGGGGCGGGGGAGGGGATGTCCCTGAGTCCAAGCAGCATTGGTAATGTGCTGGAGGAAGAGGGGTCATTCTCTCTTGACATTGCTTCCCATTCAGACTTTCTCAACTCGAACGTTTGTCTCTTTTCCCCACCCTTCCTCTTCTAGTGTTGGATTCTCTATGATTGTCAAAGTCTCGCCAGCTACTACTGCCTGTTTCTCCTCATGGGACACATGGGGCTGGGGGACGGGTATGGAGCAGACCTTGATGCTTCCAAGGGCAGGCTGGTGGTTGATGGGGAGAACTGGGGACTGTGTGGCTGTCCATCTCCTCCAGTCTCCTCCTCTGCCCATGCGCCTGCCCTGACGAGCCTGGATGGGGGGAGATCTCCATAGGAAGGGACTTAGTCATCTTTTCTCCCTGCTCTCACTCCCGTCAGAGCAAGGGCAGGCTTGGACCTTGGACCTACCCATCTACCTCTTCCCAACCTCCTTCATCACAGTCCGATCAGCCGTCAGGTAACTGGCAGTCTGGAAGTCAGTGTGTTCCCAGAGCCTTGTGCTGGACAGCTCACCCAGCCAGAGGCACGATCATTTTGGGCAGAATGTGGGTATACAGGGAACCTCAACCGTTCTGAACCATCCACAGAGACCCTGTACCAGAAGCCCAAGCAAAGGAGCTTCAGGGTGTCACAGATTGAGGATATCTGCAGTAGCCCCCCTCCCTAGCTTGGAGAGTACCTGCAGTGGCCTTAGACACACCTTTCTTTAGTGGCCCTCCCCCCCCCCCCCCATCCGTCTGAGGCCAAGTCAGCTGCTGTTACTTCTCCCCTCTCAGTTCCACATCTCCTCCCAGCCAGTCTGCTGGCTCCAGCTCAAAAGCTGGAAAGAGAACTCCTCCCCCGCTTCCTGCCTCTTTCTGATGAGCTCTTGAGTTGCTCTTGTTCTCAGAGAAATGAGACTGACCGACAGACAACCCCCTGCAACTCTCCAATCCCTGAAATCCTTCTCTAGCCAGCCTCCGTATCTCCTCTCCTTGCCCTTCTTGGTACCTTTAGGCTGGTACCTTTAGGGGCAGCTGGAGTGGAGGCTGAGGAGCAGGCTGGCCAAGGAAAGAGCCTGTGGGGGCTGAGGTGCCCACCCTCACACATTGCTGGCACTCACCCGGTGTTGCCAGGGCCCTAAGCCTGTGCCCTGGCCCCACTGCAGAAGATCACAAGGCGGCTAGTTGTGGCGTCTCTGTGGTTTCCTGCTGACTTCACTCCATTCCAGACAGCTGGTGGCTGATGGTGGCAGAGACGGGTTAAAGGGGTTTTGGAGGGACAGGGAGGGGCCAGGAAAGCAGAAGCATTGGCCTACGGGAGGGGACTTTGTCCCAAGACCTGTTTTCTGCTCAGTGAGTGACCATTCTGGTCCTGCCCTAGGGCCAAGAGTGGATGTGGGCAGCAGGAAAGTGGAGCCCCTCCCCTTCTTAATCAATTAAGCTTCAGGGTGATGATGGGCATGTTTACACTCTGCTGGCTAGTTGGGACAGGCCAGACTGAATTTCTGCGTGTCAACCCTCCCTACTTGGAAGGTGGGCCTGGCTCTGGGGTATACGTCTGGGCTGAGGGTGCCGGCTCTGAACACCTCTGTGATCTTCTGAGCTTGTAAGTGCTGAGTGCTGCCCTTGTCCTATGTCCTCCAGGTGAAGAGTGAGGGACCCAAGCTGGTGCCCTTCTTCAAGGCCACCTGCGTGTATTTTGTGCTCTGGCTGCCCTCGTCCAGCCCATCGTGGGTCAGCGCCCTCATCAAGTGCCTGCCCATCTTCTGCCTCTGGCTCTTCCTTCTGGCCCATGGCCTAGGATTCCTGCTGACCCACCCCAGTGCCACCCGCATCTTTGTGGGGCTCGTCTTCTCCGCTCTAGGTGATGCCTTCCTCATCTGGCAAGACCAGGGCTACTTTGTGCACGGTCAGTTGCCATAGTAGCTGTTTGGGAGGAATCCTGGGGTTGGGCGCTAGAGGGTCTTAGGTGGCCAAGGATTTGGGAGAGGGAGCTTTTGAACAAGAATATGGGGCATCTGAGGGGTTGTGAGGCCAAAGACCGCGGGACCCTTATTGGAGGATTGCCTTACAGAGGATCTGGTGATCGGCTCTGGAGTTCCTCAGGGGAGGGGGTGGTATCTTTACCTTTGTGGATTTCTTCCCACCCCTGATACTCCCCAAACAAAGTTCCTGGGTTATCCTAAGCACTCCCCCCCCCACACCCCATGTCTCTCATTACTCATCCGAGCCTGCCCTCAGCATCCCCTCATCCCCTCTCACTCCCAGGTCTGCTGATGTTTGCTGTGACCCACATGCTCTACGCCTCGGCCTTTGGCATGCGGCCACTGGCTCTTCGGACAGGTCTGGTGATGGCAGTGCTGTCGGGCCTGTGCTATGCTCTTCTCTACCCAGGCCTCTCAGGTGCCTTCACCTACCTGGTGGGGGTCTATGTGGCCCTTATCAGTTTCATGGGCTGGCGGGCTATGGCAGGACTACGGCTGGTTGGGGCAGCCTGGCGCTGGACTGAGCTGGCAGCAGGCAGTGGTGCACTGCTCTTTATCATCTCAGACCTGACCATCGCCCTCAACAAGTTCTGCTTCCCTGTGCCCTACTCGCGGGCACTCATCATGTCCACCTACTATGCTGCCCAGATGCTCATCGCCTTGTCAGCTGTTGAGAGCCGGGAGCCAGTGGAAGACTACAGACTGAGCAAGGCCAATTGAGAAGCCAGGGTGTGGTTACCCCTCTCTCCTCCTGGGGGAGGGGTCCAGAACCTGCAAGAACTGAGTCAGGATGGCTGCAGGACTGACCTGGAGAGTAGATACCACTGGGGAAATGTACACGTTTGAAGGGGGGTAAGCAGGAAAAGGATCTCTCTAGCAAAGTTGGTGTTCCAGAACAATGCTTACAGATAAAAAGAGCCAGCCTAATTCTCCTTGCTGGAGCCAGAATTAGACATCTCCCCACCTCTAACCCCATAGGGGCTGTCAAAGCCCCTCCAGAGGGCAATGGTGCTCAGCGTCTTGACCTCCCCCCGCTTCTAGATGGAAGAGTCTGACTCACCCCACTCCCATTCTTTCTGATCTGCACAAGAGTCCAGTGAAGAGGGGAGAAATCTGACCTGAGATGACCCAAACCCAGGGCTTGAAACCCGTTTCACAGGCCCCTAGGTGGGAAGACTGGATGAGAATGGCATCTTTCTTTCCCTCATCTATCCTTGTTACTTGAACTATCTCCGTTTCTAAGTGGTGGGTGGGAAGGTGAAGGGGTGTCTGCCCAGGTGGGGAAGACTGGGGACTTCACTGGCCTAGGAGCTTGGGCTATCAATGATTCAAGTTGGTCCCATCTCTCTCAGAGGCCAGTCCAGAGCTCAGGCCCACCACCACCACCGCCACCTTTAGACCCTATCCCCAGGGTTAGGGTGAACTATACCAAAGGAAGGGGCCAGCCTGTATGTGTGTCTGTGCGTGTGAATTTCTGTGTGTGTGTGTGTGTGTGTGTGTGTGTGTGTGTGTGTGTGTGGTCTGTCTCCCAGACTGTCTGGGTCTTTCTGTGCCATCTGTCTCTGTCCTGCTGTCTAAGTCTTATAGGGAGAGGGCCTCAGGGAGTTGCTGAGGGGGTGCCGAGCCTGGCTTAGAGAGCTGGGACCCCATCCCACCACCATCAGTGCTTTTTTCTCTGCCCCTTCTGCACTGGGAGCAAGAGGAGAGGGCTCCAATGGCATTCTAGGGTCATAAGACCTAAGGCACATTCAATGCAAAAGGAGCAAGGATGGGACAACGCCATCCTTTGCTGTTCATGTGAAAAAAATAAAAACCAAGGGCCACTGGCTGCTCTGCTTGTCTGCTTGTGTGGCGTGTGCCTGTCCTGGAGAGAAAGGGGTGGGGGCATGGTGCCAGGGGCCCTGGATGTCCTTACAGCCTGGGTCACAGTGCTGGCCAGTGCGTCTTGGCGCCAGGCTGGCTCCCTGGCTCTGGTGACATGGTGCCTTTTGGAGTGGGTCTCCCTTCCCTGGTCACGTGTATGGGTGTGGATATAATTCCGTGGCAGTATTTGCCACCATCCGATTTTGTCTTTGATGCATTCCCCTGTGCACGGACACCTAGCACCTTTGCTGACTCTTAGTGACCCAGTGCCCTCTACTGCTGCCCGCCTCCTCCCGGACCTACTGCCTGTTCCAAAATGATCCAGATTCCCTTCAAGTGTTTCCTCTCTCCTTGAACTCTGGGCTCCATTAAACAGTGGGGAGGAGTAAGATTAGATTAGCTGATTTGTACTTTAGATGGGAAGCTCTGGCAAAATAATGTGTCACCCTGTTCCAGGGGCATTTGCATCTTAATGGGCAGTGCTCTGACCCAGAAGCAGAGAGGAAAGCCTTGGGTGGTGGTGAATATGCCATTAGTAAAAGGGTTGTAGAGTCGTGGGGACAGGATAGAGGAGGCTCAGCCCCGTGTGGGTGGTGGGTGAATTAGTGATTTTCAGACTAGGATTTTTACAGAGATACCTGATGGGAGACAGGAAAAGGATAAGTAGAAGAGAGTGGCCCAGAGACAACCCCCACCCCCACCCCCATCCTTGTTTGGAGTCCAGTAGTTTCTTACAATTTTTTTTTTAATTGGGAAGATTCTGCAGTAAAACCTAAGTATGAGACCTAGTGAGCTGGATGACCAATCGTTTCTAGCTTTGAGAAGCATTAATTCCCAAATACCAGGAACTCTAGACACTAAAGAAGCAAGGCCCTGATCCCTTCAAACCCCAGAACTCTTGAGGGCAGATCTACCTGGTGAAGAAGTGCTGGCGGGGGGGGGGGGGGGGGGAGGGGGGGGGATGGAGAAGAATGAAGCCTATAAGATGCGTCCTCCCCTGCCCTGAGGGGAGGGGAGGGTGCGATGTCGCTGCAGAGGAGGGGAAGGCAAGCCAAGGCCCAGCCAAAAAGCGGCTGGTCACCCCCAATGCGGGTGGGTTTGGACTAAGCTCTGGGGGTGCGTGTCCTCTGTATCCCCATCCACTCCCAAGCCCATATCCTTGGTCCCTGCTCCATGCCAACCTCAGGAACAGGCAGGGGTGAGCTTAGTCAGTTTATTGTCCCATGACTTCACTGACAAGCACCAGGGAGCGAACTGGGCCGCCGTCACTGGGGACACACACAGGATAGGCCCAGAAACCACCTATAACAACATCCTCCTGATGCCTGGGCTGGGCCGGAGATCACATAAGGTGCTTGGACTTCTTCTGCAGACTCTCGGTGACTGACGCTAGAATTGACTTGTCATCCTTGTCTGAAAGAGCAAAGCAAGTATTTGTCAGTGTTGCTAGGGGGAAGGGAAACTCCAAATTGCTGGACTTGCAGTTAAGGCCCCCGTCTCCCAAGGTCAGCTGAGCGTGTGGGGCCAAGAGCTGCCAGTTATTCAGAACTCAATATTTGCCAGGCATTGTGCCAGTCACTTCTGTGCACTATCTCATTTAAGCCTCAAGACAGCCCTCAAGAAGTAGATGAGAAAACAGGCTCAGAGTGGTTTGCCAAGGTCACATGGCTGGACGGTAGTGGAGCCAGGGCCGTGGGCCCACGTGCTTACAACCAGAATTAAGCTGTCAGGGATTTCTCTAGCTGTGGAATGAAAGCTGGATGTCTCCCACAGTGCCTTCCCTGGCCCAGTTCTGTCACACAGTTCAGCAGCCACCCTGGAGGCATCATCTCAGGGCCAGATACCTAGCTGAGTACTTGAGAGACAGAGCGACAGGATGTGGTCTTTCCCCGAGGAACGGGACTTACAGCAGGACACCAGAGGACCGCCGCGGAGGGTTCAGGGAGCGGCAGAGGATGAGGCTGGAAAAGTAGATGTGGGGGACAGGGGAGACAGTGTGGGGAGCCTTGCTGCTTGGGGTTTCCTCCAGAAGATCATGGGAGAGTTAGGGAGTTTAAGTAAAAGGGAGCAGGGCAGGTCAGCTCTGCATTGGGAGAGGTCCTGCTACTAGCTGTGTGGTTGTGAAAAGAGTGTGTAGGAAGAGAAAACACTTCCCCTGCACGTACACACGTTGGGTAGAGGTGTGGCACACCTGTGCAGAGGAAGGGTCTCCACTAGGTTCCATTCCGTCCTCCCATTGGTGCTCCCCACCTGTCCTTATCCTAGACCAGGAGCTTTCAATCTTGGTCGCACATCAGAATCACTTGTAAAATCTCGTAAACATAAAAATTCCTTCCAGAACCTGGCCACGGAAATTGTGCCCGGCCAGTCTGGGTTAGGCCCGATCACCAGTATCTTTTTCAAAGGCAAGTCTAGGCCCACTAAGCGTTGCAAACTACAGTCTCCCGAGGGATTGCAAACTCCCAAGCCTGGAGGCTCCAGACATGTAACAAATGACATCGAGAGGCACCGAGTACGGCCCGTTGGTGAAATGTTTACACCACCTGTTGGCAGAGTAAATGAAAAAATGCACCCCCGAGACGGCCATCCTGCGCCTCTGGCCCAGATGGGACGCAGGGCCGCCTCCCCGCCCCCAGGCGGGCTCTGCGGGCGCCCTCACCGTAGACCGTGAGCGCGCAGCTGCTGCGGTCCGTGCCCAGCTCGTTCTCCACCAGCACGCTGTACTCCCCGCTGTCCTTGAGCGTGCAGGTGGGGATGACGATCGTGCACACCCCGCTGGTGGAGTTGTACCAGAACTTGGAGTTGGCCGTGATGTTGACGTCGCCCTTGTAGAGGGTCACCGTGGGCCGCGGGTTCCCAAGGAAGGCGCACGTCATGGTGCAGTCCTGGCCGCGCAGCACCGTGTGCGGCTTGAGTGGGATCAGGAAGCGCGGTGCGTGGCGCCAGTCCTTCTGCTCATACGGCTTCAGCTTGGCGCTCAGGTCCTCGACTGCGCGGGCGGGACGCGGTGGGCTGTGAGCGCACCTGGGACCCCGGCCAATGCCCGCCCGCTGAGAGCTCGAAGGCTCCCCGGAGCCCCCCAGGCCTGGGCTACATTCCCACGCCCTCTCAACTCTGGGGCCCTGACCTTACGCCGGCACCCGAGGTTCCATTCGGCCACCCTCCCACTCCCTTGTCATTCCAGGGCTCCACTATCAAAACCCAGTGCGTGGGATTTCATGCTTTTCCAGACCCAGGGGTCCTAACTTCTTTCCAGCTGTCAGCTTCCTGACCGAGCTGTTAACTTCCATCCGAGCTTTTCCAGCATCAGGTCAGCCTCCGTGGTCTCTGCTAGTCTCCATTTAGCTCTTCATTTCCAGTTTCCTGACGCTATCTCCACCCCTAGCCCCTTCCCTCCAGGGTTCCTGGACATCATCCCCAGCCCTCATCCCCGTGACCCATTGGCTCAGGGGACCACGTCTCAGCTCTAAACAGCCGGCCAGCCCCTGTCATCCCCGTCCCCAAGGGCGCCCCCACCTCCACTGTCATCCCCACCCCCAAGGGCGCCCCCCCCCACCTCCACCCCCTCAGAGTACGTACAAGGTAGTTCCTCCTCTAGGCTTCTGGATCACTACTTCTCTTCCCAGCATCCCTGACGTTAGCCTTTTCCGCCTCAGTGGTTCTCAGATTTTACCTCAAACCCCGGGTACCCCTGGCAATCCCTATGTCATCCCTGCCACCAGGGATATAATCCAAACCCCCGAGTTTCCTGACTCACTCTTGTCCTTGACGATGAGCCAGGTATCCTTGGAGTCGAGTGGGTCACTGTCACCGATTTCGTTCCGGGCCACTACTCGGAAGTAGTACTTCCTGCCAGGGAGTAACCCGGTCACCGTGTACTTGTTGCTGAAGACGCGCTCCGCTGCTGTGAACCAGGTGGGGCTGCTGGCATCCCGCTTCATGATGACGTAGTGGGCCTCACTATCCTCCTGGATGTCAGGGCTGTGGTTCCAGGTCAGAGTCACCGTGTTGGGGACCTCCTCAAACAGCTGTAGGTTTGTGGGCGGCCGCGGAAAATCTGGAACAACCACAAGGTCCAACAGCCACCCTTGGGGGCCTGAAGAATTATGCCCCACCACAGCCACCTGCCAAGCCCCATGGAAGATGAGACGGGGAATGTCCCTTCTTTGAGTCTCAGGCCGCTGGTATTTTGGAGTCAGAACTATTTCTGAGGCATAGCTCTGCCATTTACCAGCCCTGTGAACTTGGGCAAGTTACTTATCTTTTTTTGAGACCGGTTTCCTCGTTTGCAGAATAGGGCTCACAATAACTATCACAGAAATGCTGAGTAAAGTGCTTGGCACATAGTAACTATTCAATAAAAGTTTATCCCTTCATCCCTAGGGAGTTTAAGGCTTTATTATAAAGCTTCTAGCCCTCACTACTATGAGGCCACTGCAATTATTAATGGACTCATTTCCATCTATCCCTCCTGATTCCCACTCATTTTCTGCTCTCTCTCTGCCATTCATCCTCTGCATATGCCTCAGAGCTCATCAGATATGCGTGCGGAAACTGAAACAAGGATTTGGTCCTAGTTCAATGCCTCTAGGGCTTCAGGGCATTGAGAAAAAGCGGAAAGAAACCTCCCCATTAAGGCAAAGGCCAATAAAGTCTTGTTTTGTGGTGCCAGACAAGACTTCACTACCTTAAGGCCTGGCTTGACAGTGATAGGAACTCGAGCAGCAGTGGGGAGTTATATTTTGGAGTGTGTGCAAGGATACCTCCCCAAGGCCTCTGCCTACTGTCATACCTGCCACACGCACGTGGATGTCATAGGATGCCTCTCCAAACTCATTCTGGAGCAAGATGCGGTACACCCCTGAATCAGAGCGCTTGGTGCTGTTGATGAGGAACTGAGAATGGTTTTTGCCCTTGATGATGGTTTCCCTGCCCTTGGTGGGGATGCCGTCTTTCTGCCAGATCACGTTAGGTGGTGGTGAGCCCTGTGTGGTGACAGGAGATGGCACTGGGGTCACCCAGGTGATATTTGGGGCTCCCACTGTTGAGAATTCTCCTGCCAGGCTCTAGTGCCAGGGTTCTGGTGAGGGGCCGAGACAGAGACTCTGATAGCTACAGCAGCCATCTCGGTGGGCATCTGGGGGCCAGGATCTGGAACAACTCACAGAGAAGGCAGCATGGATGCAGAGGGCTGTCCCAGCACGAACCACCATGTGACTCTTCAGTCGGGCACTGAGATCAAACTTGGGGGCAGCTGAGAGGGAAGAGACCAAGGTGGGGCCATGGACCTCTCTCTCTCTGGAAGACTCAGCTTTAAACCTCCCCATCCAGAGCCTTTCCCAACCTCTCCTCCATGCTCTTGTTAGAACCCATACAGACCATTAGCAGCCCCAACACTGTGAAGCATTTATTTGTCCCTTGTCTGTCTTCCCCTGTTAGTATGTAAGACTCTAGGGCAGGTCCTGTGTCTTAGTTGTTTCTGTATTTCCAACACCCCTCTTGGCACACAGTAAATACTATTTAGCATACAATGAGTGGGTTTTTTTTTGGTGGGGGCGGGTCACGCCTGGCTCTGTCCAGGCACAAGTATGGACGACTTCTTGCCCATAGCATCACCCAGTTTTCCCCTGTGGGATGAGGTCCTAGGGAGGAAGGTATGGAGCTGGGATGTTGAGGCCTAAACCCCAGCTCTCTCTGTGTCCTCACCTGGTGGTGGCATGGCACGAACCCCCTCATCCAGTTCCACAGGCTCCCCAACCCCAGCCTCATTCACAGCCCGGATTCGGAAGAAGTATTTCTGCCTCTCGGTGAGGCCTCCCACTGTGTAGCAGGTGCCTGAGATGGGGATCTTTGTGCACTTGGACCACTCCTTAGTGTCTTCGGCCCGCATCTCAAGGATGTAGCCAGAAGGTGGGTCTCCCTCTGCAGGCTCCCGCCAGGCCAGGGAGATACTGGAGTTGGAGGAATCAGACACGTGCAGACCCTGCACCAGGCCTGGGGGCTCTGGGTGGCAAAGACATCCAGTCAGCCTCCCAGCACATCCGTACTCATCCCCGTGCCCATTCCCACACCCGGTACCCCTAAAACCTAGCTGTCAGCACTTCTTCCTCTGACACCCAGTTCACACCTTCAAGGCCAACCTTGCGCACTCAACAACCTCCAAGTTCAATTCTCTCACTGGCTCAACACTTTCACCCTTGAAGTCACTACCCTCCAAATTCAACATACCCTACAGCCTCAATTTCCTTCTATTCTATTTTTTTTAAGGTTATTTATTTTGAGAGAGACAGAGACAGCGAGAGCAGGGGGGAGGCAGAGAGAGAGAATCCCAAACAGGCCCCGCACTGTCAGCCGTGGGACCCCACGCAGGGCTCAAACTCATGAACCGCGAGATCATGACCCGAGCCCAAACCGAGAGTCAGTCACTCAACTGACAGAGCCACCCAGGCGCCCCATCAGTTTCCTTGCGTTCTAAACTCCACCTTAATTTAGCCCAACCATCTCCACCGCCTCCATTCGTGTGCGGTACCCCCATCTCATCTCCCAAACTCAGCCCCCTCCCGACCATCCACACTATACTATCCCCCTACCCAATCCTCAGACCTGCCTCTACCACCTCGCCTAACCAGAAATGCTCAAAGTTTGATAACTTTTTTCCCCACCCTGCCCAATCTTTATTTGTTGGTTTTCTCTTACGTGTGAATCCTGTCCCTCTATTAGGCTGGCAGCTCCCACAGAGTGGAGACTGTGTGGAGGGGTCATCCTGTTAGGCTTTCCCAGAGAAGAAGGCGGCTGTCTACCTTGCATCAGATAATTCTACTACGTGCTGGGGTTTGGCACCCCATACTCACTGACAGGGTCCTTGGCTACCACTGAGCTGGATGCCATACTGGGCTGTCCAGGGCCTGCCTTATTCACAGCTATAACTCGGAATTCATATTCTGTGTCTTCCAGGAGACCATCCACAGTGCACTTGGTATCTGAAATGGGAGTTTGAGGGGTCCTGAGGCCAGGGGGTCCATGAGATGGGAGACCATAGGGTGAGAGGGCATGGATTAGGGGGTGGCGGGATGCTATGAAAATCCTCAAAGGAGTTGGGGAACAGAGTATGTTCAGGGCAGCAGAAGTACACAGGTCCACCCAGCAAAGCCTCTCTTGGTCCTCCTGAGCCTCTCTCCCTAGGACCTCACCTTGGATGGGCTCCTTGTTGACCGGCACCCAGAGGCTACTGCCTTTCTTCCTCCGCTCCACAATGTAGCCGAGCACTGGGGCTCCCCCATCCTGGGTAGGGACATTCCATGTGATGGTCATGCTGTCTTTGGTCACATCAGTCACTTGAGGCTGGGAGGCAAGACCAGGGGGCTCTGTGGGAGACAGAGGGCAGAGGTTAGAAGGGGGAGCATGTAGACATTTCCCACCCCATGTTGATCTCTGGCTCCCTCCTTCAAAAAACAAAACAAAACAAAACAAAACAAAACACCTTAAACCAATGATTCTTAACTAATGTCTGGGTTTTACCTCCAGAGAGTTTAATGTAATTGGCCTGGGGGGTGGAAGCCAGGCATGAGCATGTTTTTAAAGACATCAATCAGGTGATTCTGTTGAGCCCAGATTGAGAATCGCCAACTTGGTTCTTTCGACCCTTGTCATCCCCAAAGCCACAGTTCCTAATGTACTGTCTTGACACATGGACACATGGAGACTAGTTGGGAGGGGTGTCGCCAGAAGTTAATTAGCTTTCATAATTCAAATACCCATGTTGTCAAGGGGCTTCTTTGGGGGAAAAGTTAGAACAGATTCAAGGTTATCTCTAAAGTAACACTACTCTCACTTGAATTTGGGGTGCTTTCTGGAATGGAGAAACAAGTGGAGTCATTTCCCTGCAATTGAATGCAGTTCTGGACATACACACAGGGGATGTGTTGTGCATGTGATCTGACTGGGAAAAGTAGAGAATTCCTACCCAAGATAATGTTCTGCTCGTACTCCGGATTCCATCTGTCTCATCGGATAGCCACAGAGGTGACCCCACAGAATTCCCCACAGACTAGCATCCCTCACTGGCCGAAGGCCTCCATCCCGACCCCTGAGTTTCCCACTGAGCATAGGGCTATCTCACTGACCAATGGGATTTCCTGCAAACACTTCATCTGTTTCCAGAGGGTCGCTCACTCCTTCTGAATTAACCGCCAGGATACGAAACTGGTAGGCTTTTCCCTCTTCTACCTTGTTGGTGGCAAATTTCGTGAGTTTGCTGTCCACCTCGCCTATCTTAATCCAGGACTTCTTGCCGACCATCCTCCGTTCCACTATGAACTGGGTCACAGGCCGCCCACCGTTGTCTTTGGGGGCCTTCCACTTCATGTGCACACAATTACCCGAGAGTTCCAGAAATTCCACCCGGCCCTGGGGAGGTTTCGGACGGTCTGAGGACAGAAGATAGCATCACAACAGGGACCGGGAAGGCTTTATCCCACTTGCCAGAGGTCCACCAAACTGGGGCATAGACTTGCCTCGCCCTTCTCTGTGTTCACTGTGCCTCCTTGTAAGACTTGCCCAAAGGGTTTGATCTTTGGCCACCCGAGACTCTCACTTGCCTAGGAATAGGTGGACTGGGGACCCGGGGAGCCCCTGTCTCAGCTGATTCACCCCTTGTCCCCTTCCACACAAGATCTCCCCCTCCTCGCAGCTTCCAGAACTCCAGTGCTTTGTGATATTATAGTTCATCTTATGTTATAATTACACGTTGGCCAGTTTTCATCCCTTTTGGGTTGAGAAACAGCTGGAATACTTCCATCCCTGTATCCTCAGAGCTGAGAACACAGAAGAGGGGTTCAGTCATGCTGTTGAATTGAGTCAAAACCCAAACCTTCTCACTCCACAGCTTGATGGCATGGGCGTGTGTGTGTGTGTGTGTGTGTGTGTGTGTGTTGCATGTTGACCATGAGCTCACTAAGGTCAGCTCCTCATCTCTTGTATTCCAACCCATCTCCAACCCCATTCCTACCCCCTTCCATCTTTCCAGCTTCATTTTGTCCTCAACCCCATTCACCCACCCTCACTTCATGTCACTTCCAACCCCAAAACTCACGCACCAACCCCGCTTCTATCCCTAAATGCCCCTCTTTCACTTCATTTCTACCTTATTTGCAACCATGTCCTCATCTCCAAGTCAGTAACACTGGAAGGTCTGCTATGTGCTGTGCGCCCTGCTATGTGCTTTAAATTCACTTGAAATAGATCCTGAAAACAAAACTCCTGACACAACAACAACAAAAACCAAAACCAGGCCCAAATCACCCCATGGCAAATGAGAAATGGAGGCTTCAGTAGGTTCATCCGCTTGCCCAAGGCCGCCTAGTGAGGAACTTAGAAAGCGGGCTTCCGGTGCAAAGCCAGCACTCGGATGCCATTCTCAACCCCCAGCTCCAGCTCCCATCCCCAGCCTGCCTCCCGCCCTGAGCGCAGAGCAGCAGATGCCCTCAGCTCAGCCCAGCGGGGGGCCAGCCCTCACCCAGCACGCTGAGGTGCAGAGTGGCTGTGGCTGTGCCATAGTCATTCTTGAGCTTGAGCAGAACGAGGCCACTGTCCTCACGCACGCAGTTGGAGATGGTGAGCAGCGCCTGGTCTTCCCCGCGCTCCATGGACACACGTTCCTCTTCTGTCACCTCCATGCCGTCCTTGTACCACGTCACTTTGGGCAGCGGCTTCGCCCGGAAGGGCACCTTGATGTTTGCCGTGTGGCCCACCTTCACAGTCACGGGGTGCGCGGCCAGCGCCTCCAGCACCGACGGGTCGATGGTAGGTGGATCTGCCGGGGGGGGGGGGGGGGGGGGGGGGGGGGGGGGGGCGCCCCCGGGGGGGGGGGGGGTGGGCGATGAGGGGTGGAAGAGATCCCATGGGGGTGGGGGAGGAGCCCTGAGCACGTGGGCTGGCCCGGAGGGGTTGAGTCTTGCCTACAGCGGGCAGTGACCTTACCTGCAATGAATACGGAGGCCTCGCTCTCTGCGCCCTTGGCCCGGAAGGTGTACTTGCCCTCGTGCTCCGGGCCCATACTGGGGAAGATGAGCTTGTGCACTGCACCCTGCTTCACGATCTGCACGCCGGGCAAGTCCGTGATCTGGGGGGGGGGGGGGGGGGGGTGGGGGGCAAGGGGCGGCCATGAGTGCGAATGTATGGCCAGTCCACCCCTTCCTCCTTGGCCCCCTTCTCTAGCCCCTTGCCTCGGACCTCCTTGCCATCCTTGAGCCACACGCCCTCCACCTTCTCGTCGTTCAGCACCACGCACAGTTCAGCTGGGCTCCCGGTGGCCGCATGCACGTCGGACATCCCGCTCTTCACGGTGGCCAGACGCTCTGGGGGAGAAAGGGAGCAGGTGCTGGGTGAAAGGAACTCACGTGAAAATGGCTGGTGGTGATGGCCATGGGAAGGGGCTGGGGTGCCATGTCTGTCAAAATAATTTATGATGAGCAGGAGATTTGGAAATGGTCAATGGGCGATAGGAGAATGGTCAGGGAGGGAACTGGAGCAAGTAGGTGGGAGGTTGGGGAAAAGTCCAATTAGCATTGGGAAATGGTTAATGGGGGCCTGCTCATCGGAAGATGGTCCCTGGGGACTTGGGATGCTCAGTTGAAGAAGAAGAATAGATGGTGGGAGTGTAGATGGGTAGAGGAGTTGGGATGGTTAGTTGGGGTTATGCTAGACTGTGGGATGCCCAGGGTTTTTAGGAGTTGAGGGTGGTCAGGGTCAGTGGGGACTGATCAGGATTAGTGAGCAGGGGCTGGTCAAGGTCAAGGAGGATCAGATGATCAAGGCTGCTGGGGATGGTCAGAGTCTGGAAGTGAAGGATGGATAAAGTCAAGGGATTTTGGATAGGGTTACAGACATGGGGTATGACCAGGGTCTAGGAGGTAAAGATGTTCAGGGCCTGGGAGGTCAGAGAGGGTCAGAATTTGGTAGATGGGGGTGATTAGACTGGGAAGTAGAAACTGACCATGATTTGAGGAGGCTGGAGTCAGTAGGGGGCTGATCAGTGTCCATGGCAGGGAACCACCAGGACTGGGGGGATTGGTCAGTGGGAGCTGACAGGGTGAGCACGTACCCTCCACGGTGACCACAGCAGTACTGTAGTATTCAGTGGGGTCTCCGTCCTGCATGGCCACCACGGTGTACTCGCCACTGTCACTGAGCTGTGCGTCCTCAATGACCAGCTCTGCTCGCTTGCCCTCATGGCCCATGCTGTACTTGGTGCTGCGCTCCAGCAGCCGCCCATCCTTCTTCCAGTACAGCGTCACGTCCTTGGAGGTCAGCTCACACTCAAGGCAGGCACGGCTCCTCTCTTTCACACGTACGTTCTTTAGGGTTCTCACAAACTTGATGGGGATGCCTGTGGACAGATAGACTTGGATCTGCATCCAACCCCCTACATCCCTTTCTGCAGCTACATGCTGCCCTACTACTCTTTTTGGTCCCAGAAACACAGGGACTTGTGGCATTGAATGTGTTGTGTGCAACACGTGACCCACAGAGGTAACTGGCAGAGAGAGTCCCAGCTCTGCCCCTTACTTGCTAGCTGACTGTATGCAATGCATTCACTCTCTGGGTCTCAGTTTCTTCATATGTAAAATGGGATAACAGTTTACCCCCTCACAGCACTGCAGTCAATATCTCTAGTGGCCCTTTGGAACTCCAGCCATAATTGCCTTGTCTTTCTGGTGTCTGGGCCTTTATACACCTGCTGTTCCCTCTGCTGAGAATTTCCTGTCTTCATCCCCATTTGCTGAAATATGAACTCCTTTTGGTTCTTGGCAAGACTTGGCCATCACCTCATCACATCCTTTCTGACATCACTAAGTGGTGCTCCTTCTTTGGGTGCCCACAGCCTCTGTGTCTCCCACCATCACAGCCATGATGATTCCACGTTACAGGAGTCAAGTGTGGTTCCCACGTGTGACATGCCTCACGTGTAACTCTCCAAATGAATTCTAATGTAGGAATGCAAGTGGTTAACAGTGATGTGCTATAACATATAAGGTTAGAGCTGGAAAGGCTAATAATTTCCTGACCCATGATCTCCCAGCTGGTAATAAGACCCCAGTCTTGACTTCCTGCTTAAGAACTTATGTTCCAAGTCCATTTGGTGCCTCCTCCACTACACTAGGAGTTAGTGGAGGAGAGAACCCTCTGTCTTTCTAGAACCCATCACAGGGCTTTGCAAGGAGAGATGGATGGATGGATGGATGGATGGGTGGATGGGTGGATAGATGGATGACTGCCCGCATGGAGGTGGCTGTGGCATGAGGCCCACCCCTCAAGCTCTGGCCCAACCACTCACGGTCAATAGTGAGCTGGGCTTTCTGTACCAGGTCCCCCGCCTCAGCAGAGAACTCGCCGGCATCACTGAGTCTGGCATCCTTAATCTTCAGTGTGTGGGTCAGACCATCCTCAGACACAGTGATTTCATACTTTTCATCCCTCTTCAGCTCCTTCCCATTGAACTTCCACACAAAGTTGGGCACTTTCTTGGAAAGGCGGATCTCAAAAACAGCTGTCTGGCGCTCTGTCACCTTCATTGGTGTCATCTCTCCCAAGAACTTCAGTGGCTCATCTGTGGAAGAGTAGGAGGGGCAGTCGTTGGGCTGCAGCCCTGGTCCCTCCTGAGGGGTGGGGTGATGGAGGGGACATGAAGACTCAGGGGTCACTGGCCTCCTGTAGCCCACAATTGGGGAAAGCATCCTTCCTTTCGGTCTGCTTGTGAATCCTGGAGTCCCCTCCCACGATGGTCATATGGTCTCCTCCCCAGTAACGTTAACACAGCAATTTTAAAAGGCACTTATGTAGTTTCAGATATGTGCCAGGCACTCTTCCAGCCAGTGTGCACATAGGATGCATCTAATTCCCATATAGATAGATTTTACTATGATTTCTCATTTTACATATGGGGAAACTGAGGCAAACAGAAGTGAAATAACTTGTCCCAAATCACAAGCTTCTAAGTGACAGAAGCTGGGATCTGAACCCCAGCAGTCTAACTCTGGAGACTGTGTACTTAACCATGATGCTACACTGCCCCATGGCACTTACTGTCTCATTCTCTCCCTTGTGCCCCATGTTTCCCTCCTCCGTTAATGTCCATCCCCATGCAGTCCTCTCCTGCATGGCCCTGCCGTCCTCTCTCCCACATCCCTGGCAATTCCTCCCCTGATCTGACAGCATCCTCCTTGTTCCCCCTCATGCCCACATTCATACCCAGCACTGTGAGCTCTGCTCTCATCTTCTTGTCACCCACGGACAGGCTGTAGGTTCCTGCGTCGTTCATGTTCACATTGGTAATAACCAGCATGTACTTGGTGCCTATCTGCTTCACATCATACTTGCCTAGGGAGTACTGGATCCTCAGTGGCTCATTATCCTGTCTCATGAAATGGGTAGAAAAGCTGAGGGAGGAGTTTAGGAGGAGGCTTCCAGAGGTCCCCATTCCCCAAGGCCAGCCTGAGCTGGAGGGTACGACGTCTGCCTCTCTAAGATCCTCAGACACACCAGAGGCCCCCGAGATCTCTTTAGCCACATCATCTAGCTAAGCGGGACCCTGGGTCCCTGCCTCCTTTGAGACCTGAACTCTTAATGTTATCTTCAGGACTACCTAACTCATCCTTTTCAGATGGATAGACTGAGGCATGGAGAAAGGAAAGTAAGTATCTCAAATCAAACAGCAAAGTGATGAAACAGCTAAGAATAGAGCCCAGCTCCCAGTCAGTTTCAATCATCCCAGGAGGCATCAGCCTCTTGCTGGAATAGAAGAGGGACCTGGTTGACGGATAATGAGAGTGTCTGTGAAGGGAGGAGGTGCAGAGAGGAAATGATATTGCCAGGGCAGGCCCTGCCTAGGTGTCCCCTCCCCACCTTCATCCATATCATCTTGACATTGGGGTCCTTCAGCTCCATGATGCAGTCAAAGACCACAGTGGTGTCAATCTTGGTCTCTATGTCTTCCAGGGGCTTCAGAATCCGGATGGTCTGTGAGATTGTGATAATAAAATGGCGGGTGTCAGGGACATCTGGGGCCTGCCCAGTCTGTTAACCCAATTCTGGAGGAGCTCCTTAAAGGTTTGGGGAGAAATGACTAGGCTTATTGGACAGCTGTGCCTCCCCCAACCTCCTGCCACTGCCTGCCTGCAAGATTTAGGGGCAGACAGATATGATGGACCATGAGAAAGGAACTCCATTCATGGAATAGTCACTATGGACCATGAGAAAGGAACTCCATTCATGGAATAGTCACCATGGAC